AAAAAAAGGTCCTCCAAGGCCGAGACGGGAACATGTTGACATGTCATGGGGTTGTTAACCAATGTCATAAAACAATATGTGTACTGACTATTAGAAAATATTTGTTCTGTAAACCTTCACCTAAAGTACAATAAAAAAAATTAATAAAAGAAAATCAATGTTTTAATCAAAGATTTTTTTTATAGAGGAAATCAGTGTAGTGGCTCCCCATCATCTCCTAACACCATCTGCTCAAAAATTCTCACTCCCAGAATCTTTTGCTCATAGCTGCTTTCTAAATTTTTGCTCTACCAAATTCCCTGTAATACACTGATTATAGATCATAACTGCACCTAACATATATCATGTAATCACGATGCGTCAGCATTGTACCAAGCTCTTTGTATGTAGTAATTATTTTAATCCTCACAACAACCCTATGAGAGAAGTACTATAATTATCCCCTTTTTACATATGAAGTAACAGATATAGATAAGAAATTTGCCAAGATCTTAGTGCCAGCTTCTCTGTATTTACTTGAATCATTTTGGGGGAGGGGGAATCTCAGAACACCTGGACAGTGAAAAAAACAACCATGGTTGTTTTCTTTTGTTTTTTAATTTCACTTGATCATATCTCTCATTTAAGAATTATTTCTTTAAAGAATCAGACAGGAAATCACCTAGCTTCAGTGTAAACACTTCCAAAATGGACATCACTGCCACACAGGCAGTTCATTTCATTTTTGAATGCTCCTGATTGTTAGATAATTTTCTTTCTGGTGGGAACATTTTTCTTTCTCGTAATTTTGACCTTCAAATCCTAATTCTTCTCTCTGAAACCATGCAAATTAACAATAATTTTCATCCCTGTGATAGCAGCCCTTCAAGTATCTAAAGATTCTTTTGGCCTCTCTAAGAGTTCTCTTTGCCAGATGAAACCACTGGTTCTCACAAACTTTGTTTTCTTTTTCCATCTAGGCTTTTACCATCTTGATCAGACTTCAGTGGGTTTACTTTAGTTTATAAACATGCTCCTTATATTAGAAAAGGAAAAGGAAGGTTTTTTTCCCTAATTATAAAGCTAACACATGTTCCTTAAAAATTATTTTCAAAACCACAGAAATCCATAAAGAAAACAAACTCCCCATTCTTCCAACAGGAAAAAAAAAAAAAAACTGAAATTAAAGCACGAGGAAGAAAACCTCTGGTGGCGAAGTGGTTAAGTACTTGCGTGCTAACAAAAAGGTTAGCAGTTTGAACCCACTAGCTGCTCAGAGCGAGAAAGATGGGGCAGTCTGCTCCTGTAAAGATTTACAGCCTTGGAAACCCTATCAAGGAGGTTCTACTCTGTCCTGTAGGGTTGCTATGAGTCGAAATCAACTCAACGGGTTTTGGTTGGTTTTTGTTAACATTTCAATATGCGTCCTCTCTGGTGTTTGTTTGTTTTAATTTAAAGATCATATTATACGTTTTCTTGTAAACTTCTGTTTTCATTTAATTAAAAGGAATGTTTTTATACTGGGGAGGAAAAGGGCTCAGCTCACTTCTACTCCTGGAGTCAGTCCTTGCTGCAGTTGCTCCTCTACTGTTAACCTGAGTCCCAAGATTGGCACAGCCCAGAATTCCTGCCCAGATCCAAAGGTTGTCATGTTAGGCAGGGCTTCCCTGGATTCAGAAGAAACCCTTAAGAGATCACATGTGGTTTGCAGATAGGCAGTTGTCCTGACTCAAAACCAGCACCATGAGGGTTTATATTTGGCCAAAAGCATGGGCTGAACTTGCAGTTGGAGCCTCTACTGGCCTTTTCTTCACCTCCAGGGTCAGAGCGCACTCCTATGTGACTCAGTATGACACTTTCATACCCCGCCTACCTGGAGATGGATCTAGCCATTCTCCCCCACTCCCTGCAAGATCTGAGCTGGGTTGAGTCAACTGAGCCTGCAGGTTCACAGCATCAGGGCATCTCGTGTCAGTTAAGGACATGTGAGGCCTGAGACAGTACTCCTTTATTCTGCACAGTAATAACGATCCAGCCACAGTCGATGTTAAGTGTTCATCAGTTATGTTACACTGAGTTCAGAGTAAGCAAGCTTGACACCTACAATCTAAAGGTCTTTTTTTTAAAGAGCTATTAAACTGTTTCCCCGAATCCTTTAATCTGCTATTGATTTTCTTACTTACATTTGTCAACGTTAAGTTTTGGGTCTTGATTTGAGTCTTATGGCTCAACAGCTGATCTTATATTTTAATGTCTTAAGATTTTGATCTCTGAAGTAAATAATGATGAAATTTAAAAGAATGTTATTACAACATTTCAGCCCCTTTTTGAACATAAATTCCATGGAAAATAGAGAAGTATTTTTTATGTACTTGTATAATAAACACGTGATTCCCGAATAATTTTCTAAATTGATGTACCATTTTACACACCCACTACTGATGGTTGAGAGTTCCAGTTAGCACAAAACCTTGCTGATACTGGTATTACCTTTTCTTTAATTTTAGCCTTAGGTGTGAAATGATATCTTCTTGAGCACCTTCTCGTGTACTTATTTGGTTATTTGTATTTCCTCTTTTGTGACATATTTGTTTTTCTATTTATTAACTTGTCTTTTTATTGTTAATTTGTGGGAGTTCTTTGTCTCTTCTGGCTGCAAGTCCTATGTCTGTTTTCCAGGTACTTATTCTTATGTAACAAATTACTCCAGAATGTAACAGGTATAAAACAACAACCATTTTATTTTGCTCACGATTTTATGGGTCAGGTTTGGGGAGGGTTTGATTAGGCAGTTCTTGGCTGTGGTTGCAGTCATTTGAGGCTGCCATTAACTGCAGGCTTGACTTAACCACTTGTCTAAGATGACTTATTTACCTGGCTGATAGTTGATGTTGCATGTCAGCTGGGAGCACAGCTGGACTGTCAACCAGAGTGCCTACACGTGTCTTCTCCAGCATGGGGGTGTCAGGATGGTCAGACTTCTTACATGATGGTTCCCAGCTCCAAGCCTAAGTGTTCCAGTGAAGACATTGTCGTGGCCATCTTTGAAAAGTACCATCAGCCACATTCAGATATATATAGTGGATGTTTTCTCCCAGTATGTGGTTTGCCTTTTTATTTTCATAATGATATCTTTTGATGAAGTACATTTTTATCAATTTATGTGTTTTATGGTTAATGCATTTTGCGTCCTGTAAGAAATCTTTGCCTACTTCAAAATTCTGTCAGCAGGCTGAACCTACCGGCCTCTCCTTGGAAACCTGGTGAGGCAGTTCTGTTCTTTCCTGTAAGTCGGAATCAACGGCAACGGATTAGTCTCTGTCTCTAGACATTCAGGCTCAGTAGGTCTGAGGTGGAGCAAGGGAATATGTATTTCCTAAAAGTTTTTCAGCTTATTTTGGGGCTGAGAGGCTCAGTAGGGGTAGCAGAAGGCACTGAAAACAGTAAGAAAACCAGGATTATGGTTAACTTACCCACTGACCAAGGGCAAGTTAATTTTGACAATTCAGTTACTTTATTCACATGTATGTTTTGGAACAATTACAGTATTTACAATTTTATATAATCTGACTTGATCTTCTTTAAAAATATTAAGTAAATAAATAGGTGGTATTCTTTTGTATTTCTCCTCCTGAAGATTTCATAGCAGCATGGGCAGCTATTCAGAATCATCACAGATCCCTATCCATTGTCCATTCGGCTGACATCTCTTTATCTCTAGCAAGTTCTCTAGCTCTTTAGGCAAACAAACATCAATTAAGGAAGTGCTTCATTACAGGTTCCCATTCTGTTTCTAGAGTCACTCCACTGCTTTCTGACTTCTGAACACTTTCCTTGAGTATTAATTCTCTACCAACTAAAAAATTAGGGTTATGTTTTTTTCTGAGTTTTCCCTTAATCATGTCTTCTAATAATTACTGGCTAAATCCAGCCCCTGAGTTTGTGATTTGATGCTCAAAATTCTGTAAAGTGACTTCAAAACAAGATAGTGGTTTATCCATAAGGAGTGGTATTTTTCTTATAAATAGGTAAATAATTTTCTTTGGCTACAGATTGCAGCACTGATAATTTGATTATTATTCTCTTTGTTATAAAGATGTGTTTTATTTAAGCTTTAAAAATATTTAATAATATTTATTTTAATTGGTTCCTTCTATAAAATGCTATTAGCATTAAAGCTAAGGGGGAAAATGTGAGACCCTAAAGTAAAAGGGGAATATGACTTGTTTACGTTTTGCCTTTTATTTTAAATGGTTTCCTACATCTTACTAGCTTCAGATGGATGCCAACCTAAATGACTGATTAACATTTTCTACTGGCTCATCTTCCTGGGACAGTGTAATATGCAGGGGGCAGTTGTTGAGAAATTGGCTCATTTACGATTTAAATTGAACTTTTACAAACTTACATATTAAAGCTTAGGTTGTCATTAATCAAATGTGTTTAAATATTTTTCACTTGTCATGTCCTCCAAACCATGCCTGTAAGTCATATAGTCATAGAGCTTCTGGGGGCCTTAGATGTCTGCGTACTGAGTGTCACTTCTATGGCACCTCAAATCAATGGTCACCCAGATGCCCTTTGACTAGCTGGTGCAGGGACTGGCAAACTTTTTATGCAAAGGGCCAGATAGTAAATATTTTAGGGTTTATGGTCTCTGTCACAAATACTCAACACTACCATTGTGGGGTGAAAGCAGCCATAGACAATAAAATATGAATGGTTTTGTCTGCATTCCAGTAATGTTTTATTTATGAAAACAGGCAGTGGGTTGGATTTGGCCATAGTTTGGGTAGGGACTGTAGTTTGCCAACCCCTAATCTATTGACTTTATGAGATAATGCATTTAATTTATAAGATAGTCACATTTCGTGAATGGAAATATTTCCATTCAGCAAATATTTACAGGGGATTCCATTAAGCAAAGCTGTATAGTGGTACAAAGAAGAAGAAGCTCCACAGTCCATACCTCTATCTGTCTCTGAGCTCCTCTCCCATGTTTCTGACTGATTCCCTGTTACTCCCAAGGTATACTCCAAAGGGCTGATACAGCCTTTCAGGATATTATTTTCCTCTCTTACTTCACCTCTTACCACAGCTCTTCTCTACTGTGCCCCAAATTCCTGAATTATATATCAACTCTAATGCAACAATTTTCTCAGCCTTTACGTTCCACTCAAATCTTTATTCCATGACTTGTGGAAATCCAAAGCCTTCCCCAAAATTTATCTAAATTCCCAGGATAGAGGTGGAGGTGAGGCTTTAAAGTCTCCTGGTCATTTCTGACAATGAGTTCCTGGTTCTGTTGAATACCACATTGACCCAGAAGTGAAACCCAGTATTTCCTCAATTTCCTCTAGAGATCTTGTCCACACAGAGCATTTGTGAGCATGGTAAACTTCACTGAACAGTTGGGGGTCAGGAGGAGAAGTCATGTCACACTATACTACATATAACTTAAAACCCCTGATAAGCCCTAACTTCTGTGTTCATCAGTTCTTTAACCCACCTGTCACCAGGGGCCTCTGGCTGGCTTTTCACCTAATGTAGTCCCCAGCCTCCTACCATCTTGCTGGCTCCTTTCTTCTCCCTCTCCCTTTACTCTCCTTCCCTCTCCTCTTTCTATCTCAGGAGTGAAAACACAAATCACTCCCACTGCAGAGCAGCTTAATCCATCTTTTAGGTTGCTTGGATTCTACCAACACCTATACTTTTAAGATCTCTGTCTCTACACCAAGTGGCTTAGCAAAATACTTTATCAAACAAAAATAGTTCCCTCTGTAAGAGGGATTCTGGAGTCAACATTGTCAAGATTTTTCAATTCCATAATCTTTGCCGTCTTTAGGCCTTTTTGATGCTACTCCCCTTGCTTAGAATATTCTTCCCTCTCTTCCACCTAGATAACTCCTCATTCATTAGAACTCATCTTCAGCAGGGATTCCTCTTAAGAACCCCTCCTCCAGAGAGGATTCAGTTTGTCCTGCGAGGTGCCTAGGGGATGATGTAAATCCAAGGTCAAGTCTTGGGCACGTGCAAACTTGAACAAAAGACCATTCTTCTGACTCACCTTTAATGTGAGAGTGTAGATTTCTATCTGGCCCTAAACTTTGATGTCTGTACCTTTCACTCTGTAAGCCCCTTAAAACAAAAGGGCAAAGGTGGCTTGGGTGCTTCTTTACCTTTCTGGGTTCCTATTTTTCCTCTTATGTAGGCCTAGTATCCCTTTCTAGAGTTAATAACAATTAGTTGCTTTTAAAAAGATGTTTTCTTTTCTTTGTCAGCATTTTTAGTAGTTTTCAATGGGAAGATTGATGCAAATAACTTGGCCTTCCATTATTGGAAACTGAAAGTCATTAAATCTTTCCTAATTAGGAAGCAGATCTTTTGCCAGATATAGTCTTCTGTGTTTTGTGAGACCCTCTCCCTAGCCAGGGGTTTTATTCCAGTGTCTTGGGCTGCAATCCAGGACACAAATCCTTGCTCATTCACTCATGCATGCAGTCATTCAGCAGACTCTATCGAGCACTTTCTGTATGTCAGGCACTGGGTAAAGCACTGTTACAACTGTAAACAAGATAGGGCCCTGTCCTTCACGCTCTTGTTAAGAAAGGGCGGACCAAATCATCTGAACTATTCATTTTCAGTATCAGGCTAAGCCCTAACAGCCAACTGAGGAAATGTCCATGTCTCCAACCCACTGAATAGTACTATTGTAAGGGATGGGACTATTGGAGACCTGGTTTCTATAGAAGGTAACTTGAACAGGACAATGCTTCTAAAATTTTAGCATGCGTAAGAATCACCTGGAGGGGTAGTTAAAACAGATTACAGGGGCCCATCCCCAGAGATTCTGATTCCTAGGTCTTGGGGGGAGCCTAAGAATTTTAATATCTAACAAGCTCTCAAGAGATGCTGATGCTGCTGGTCCAGGGACAGAAGCTCTAGATAGAACATAGGATCAAAGATCTTCTCCTTCACAATATACTCCCCATTTAGAAAAAAAAAAATCTGTAGGCCTTCGAGAATTTGATCTCATTCCTTCAGGGGTCCCATGATGCCTAAATAACCAGTATGTATCATAATCTAACCTACACTGAGAATTCTGTCTGTGTGCTGACGATATAAAAATAATTATGAAACTATAAGAATTTGAGTTATTTCTGAAGCTATTTCAAAAGTCTCTCTTTTTTCACAGGTATCAGGAATTGAGGGAGTCACTCCAACAATGCAGGCTTCCCTGGGGTGCTGATAGGGAGTATGGTGGGATAATACCAATTTCACTCCCTGAGGAACACAGGCCAAAGTGTGAACCTCCTCGTGTCATGGGTAAAGGACATCAGCATTATGGATTTGGTGGAGAAACCTGGCACAGGTAAATAAGCTTTCTGCCATTTACATAGAGGTCTTTATTATCCATTTTTCTTTGTTTCTGTTGTGGGTCCTTTGTTAACTTAAATAGGCCTCCAAACTTATTTCTTTTAATGTTTATGAAAAGAGACCGATGGTATCAAAACCCATAGGACTGTACAACAGAAAGAGTAAAACTTAATGTAAACTGTGGATTTTAGTTAATAATAATGTATCAGTATTAGTTCATCAATTGTAAAAAAATGTGCTACCCTAATGCAAGATGTTAACAACAGAAACAGTGCAAGGGAGAGAGGGTGTATATGGGAATTCTTTGTACTTTCTGCCCAATTTTTCTGTAAATCTGAAACTGCTCTAAACAAATAAAATCTATTATAAAAAAAGACAGATGGGAAAACTAATAATGATTTCTAATTGTGAATTCAGTTAAAAAGAAATCTGTTTATGAAGCTTTTTGCTGTCCTTAGAGACATTAAAGTATTGTGATCAGAAGTTTTGATTAATTTAATTTCCTTGCTTACCCCATCTTATCTAAAACTAAATGGAAATATTCCTGAGAGAGAGAAAGATATTAAATTAAAAATATTTTTCTTTGAGCAAATAATTGGTCTAATTTGTACAGATGTTCTTGGTTATTGAAACTTTTGCTTTATAATGTACTCATCAATCTTTATTATAATCATTGGACTCTACCAAGCATTATTTTCAAGTATTAAAATATTTCAATAATAATTTATAAATCTTAAAGTCACTCTTTCAGAAATTCTATTCAAAACACAGGTTAAAACTGAAGAGAAAGAAAAAATATCTGAGCAGCAAATTAAATGTCACATTAACTATTTACTAAAGATTATGAAGGAGCAGTAGTGGTTCAGTGGTAGAATTCTCACCTTCCATGCAAGTCAGGAGACTCAAGTTCAATTCCTGCCCAATTCACCTCATGCATAGCCGCAACCCATATGTCAGGGAAGGCTTGTGTGTTGCTATGATGCTGAACAGGTTTCAGTGGAGCTTCTAGACTAAGAGGGACTAGGAATCAGTGGGTGAAAACTCTATGGATCACAATGGTCTGATCCCCAACCAATCATGGGGTTGGTGTAGGACTGGGCAGCATTTCATTAAGTTGTGCATGGGGTCATCATGAGTCAGAGCTGACTCTTCAGCAGCTAACAACAACAATAAGGATTATGAAATTACTCAGAGCAGAATCCATTTATTAAACCTTTGAACACAGCCTACTTATTCCTGCTTTATCTAACAATCCTGGCTACCTGGTTTACTAAAAATGCAGTTACCCAGTTTTTTTCTTCTAAAGCAGTTAAAAGAAATAAATTAGGAAAGGCAAACACAGCTAGAGACAGACACATTAACGGTAGGGACACTGAGCAGCTGATGACCGACCTTACTGGCGGCCTCAGCAAGGTAATAAAGAAGCAGACAAATGAAAAGAGTTAACAGTCTGAGTCCAGTTAGAAAAATTCATACATCTGACACACATTATAGATAGTGAGGACCTCAAATTCATTCATTCATTCAAAGTATTTTTTTAACACTAACTAGACAATAGATTAAGTGGTAACTTTGGTGAAGGGTGAGACAGTACACAATACTGGGGAAGTCAGCACAGCTTGACCAAGGCAAAGTCATAGAAGCTTCACAGACACATCCAGTCTCCCTGAGGGACCAAGTTACTGGGCTGAAGCCTGGAAACCATGGTCTCAGGGGACATGTAGCTCAATTGGCATTAACAAAGTTTATAAAGAAAATGTTCTACATCCTACTTTGGTGAATAGCGTCTGGGGTCTTAAAAGCTTGTGAGCAGCCATCTAAGATACATCCATTGGTCCCGCTCTATCTGGAGTAAAGGAGAATGAAGAAAACCAAAGACACGAGGGAAAGATTCGTCCAAAGGACTAATGGACCACAATTACCACAGCCTTCACCAGACTGAGTCCAGCACACCTAGATGGTGCCCGGCTACCACCACCGACTGCGCTGACAGGGATCACAATAGAGGGTCCTGGACAGAGCTGGAGAAAAATGTAGAACAAAATTCTAACTCACAAAAAAAGACCAGACTTACTGGTCTGACAGAGACTGAAGAAACCCTGAGAGTGTGGCCCCCGGACACCTTTTTAACTCAGTACTGAAGTCATTCCTGAGGTTCACCCTTCAGTCAAGGATTAGCAGGCCCATAAAACAAACAGTAATACATGTAGCAGAACCACGTATAGGAGAGTAAATGGACACACCAGCCCAGAGCAAGGATGAGAAGGCAGAAGGGGACAGGAAAGCTGAACGAATGGAAATGGGGAAACCAAGATCAAGAAGGGGAGACTGTTGACAAGTCATGGGGTTGGCAGCCAATGTCACAAAACAGTATGTGTATTAATTGTTTAATGTGAAACTAATTTGCTCTGTAAACCTTCATCTAAAGCACAATTAAAAAAAAAAAAAAACATTTCTGCCAAAAGAAAAAAAAAGATTTTAAGTTCCCACTTTCATGGAACTTACTTTCTAATATAATATACCAGCAGATTCGTAGTATCTTTGTAAAGTGGACTCAGTACCTTACTTTGAGTTAGATAGTTAGAAGGTTGTGGGACAGAGATTTGAGTCCAGGCCTGTTTGACTCCACAGCCCAAGTTCTTTTCATCTACTCATTCACTCATTTACTCATCCACCCATCCAGGTATCTATTCAGCAATTTAAGTATAGCGAGCATTGTTCTAGAGACAGGGAGTATAGCTCCTAATGGAGTTTACAGCTGTTGTCCCCTGAAATTTGTACATTAAAAAAAATGCATAATATTTTAAAAGAATTAGAAGTAAACTCGCAGAATTACCACATGTGAAAAGAAAGCCAGGACTAGTTTCTTAAGGGATATCGAACTTGAAATGAGAGGTTTGTGTTTGGTCCCTTATTGAATGCAGCCCTAGGACACTGGGAGAGGAAATATTTGTACCAATTAGAATGCCAGCCAGCCCTGTTTCAGAAATGTAGGCTAATGCTAATAAAATTAATTTTTTAAATTTTATTTTAAAAACAGCATGAACTTTGATCCTGTTCTTGAAACTTTAGTCCTGACTATAAATGTACATCTCTCCATTCTTACTTCCTTTTTATTAGAGCTATCTAGAATCATGTTTTACATAGAGGTATTTGTGTATACTTTTCTATAGTTAGTTAAATTTTTATAAGGACAATGTATCATTTCCATAAAAATAACAAAACAATCCCCTTTAAAAACAACCACATGTATCAAGTATTTCTCTATGCCACACATTGTGCTAAATATTTTATTGAAGTTATCTAAATTACACTTGCTTTTTTAAGTTCACTTTGCCAATAAAACTACTTTTGCTCTTTTTTAAATTAAATATTCGTTACATAGGTTATTCATTTGTATGGGTTAGGATTTTTAGTTGCAAACAACAGAACACACTCTGGCTAGTTGAAGAATAGGATTTCCTAAAGGATGTTAGGTTGGTTCACCGAACTGTTGGGAGGGCTAGAGAAAGACACTAATTGCTAAGATTCCCGGAACAACAGCCAGACTCACTCCCAGGACTGGCCTCATCAGAGAACGTACCCCTCCTAAAACTGGCACCTCTGCTGCCACCTAATTAATAATATGGATGTCCCACACAAAGGCCACTCACATCCAAATCAAAGTCTAGTAAATACATGGATGATTGGCAGAACTTAGGGCACCCATTTGCACCCTGGCTGGGAAGTGACTTTTCTAGATTCTACCGAGGAAAGTAGCAGTGTAGGGAGGGTATTGTAAAGATGATAGACAGTCAGGAATGACAGTTGACTATCACTCTGAACAACAGCAACAGCAGTAACATGCTTTTTTATTCAACATGTGGTCCATGGACCAGCAGCATCAGCATCACCTGGGAAATGATGAATGGCAGAAATTTGGGCCCAGCCCCAGATTTACAGAAACATTTTAACAAGATGCTCTAGGCAAGTCTAACAAGGTGCTCTAGGCAATTCTAACAAGATTCTCTAGGCAATTCTAACAGGCAGCAGAGTTTGAGAACTGCCACTCTTAACATAATAAAATGTAACAATTTTTCATACAAATAAAAATGCACTCACCTTCATTAAAGGGGAGACCCAAAGTCTAATCAGTTCCTGCATCCAGCTCCCAGTCCAGGATCTCTGAGTGACGTCCACTCCTCTAGTTCAGTCATAATCTCATCCCGATAGTCTAAACCTTTGCACTTTAATAAAATTAATTATCAGCAACACATCCTATATGAAATAATAAAGAACAGGAAGAGGAAAAAAAGAAAATTAGTATATATATATGAATATACATATAAAACCCAACCCATTGCTGTCAAATCGATTCCGATTCATAGTGGTCCTACAAGAGACAGTAGAACTGCCCTGTAGGGTTCAGGCTATACTCTGTACAGAAGCAGGCTGCCACATCATTCTCCCACAGAGTGGCTGGTGGATTTGAACCACCAACCTTTTGGTAAGCATTCAAGCATTTTTACCACTGTGCCACCAGGGCTCCTTGGATATACACATACATGCACATACATAATACATACGTGTGTGTATACCTACATATACATACATACACATACACATATATATAAACATATACAACACACACACATATATATCACCAAGGAGGAAAATACAGGAAGCAGTTACTGTCCACATTTCTGCAACTGGTCAACAGGCTATTGTCAGTATTATATTTTCCTTCCTCTATCATTCCAAGTTCCTTTGACCTCAGCCAGCACCTCAGCTGGTAAAATTCGTTATCTGATGGCATGATCTAAAGTTTTGTTCCTGAAAGATCTGAGTCCTTTGTGGCTCTGTCTGTCTTAGTTATCTAGTGCTGCTATAACAGAAATACAAGTGGATGACTTTAACAAACAGAAATTTATTTTCTTACAGTTTAGGAGGCTAGAAGTTCAAATTCAGGGCACCGGCTCTAGAGGAAGCTTTCTCTTTCTGTTGGCTCTGGGGGAA